GAACCAGACTGACTGGATCAACATCCTGGTCTTTAAAAACAGTTTTTACATGAAGCGTCTCTGCCGCTCCTCCTCCATTCTTCAGCTAAACTCACCTGTAGACCCCTGCTGGCTGCAGAGAGAACTGCAGCTGGGTGGGTGGAGCCAGGTGAACAAACCTCACTTGTGTGCCTGTTGGCCAATCACATCACTTTATCTACCTGAAGCTGACAGTTTCTGGGTTCAGACTCTATTTCATGACAGAGAGAACACAGAGATATTTAGAAACTGAACTTGGTGAGTTTTAAATTTTATTTGAAGGTATTTTTCTGACTTGAAGAGAGATTGTTTTGTGTTTGTTTCCTTCTCGTTGTATTTATGAAACTGCTCAGAACTGTTTGGTTAAGAATAGAAGGAAACAGAACAGAGGAAATCTGTTTGTCTTCTACCAGATTCAGCTCTCAGGATTGTTTGTGTTGAACTCACAGACTTTGAGTCTCGTCTGACCTCAAAGCTTTCCTGCTCTAAAACACCGATGTTGAAGATTTCTAACAGGAGAACTTCTTTTCTGGAAGATCAAACACAGAACTGGATTAAAACACTTCAACACTTCAGTCACGTTACAATACTGATTAGAAGAAATGGAGATCAGAAAGAAATATAAGAAACACAGTGGTGTTTAATAAATGAACCAAACTAATCACAGATATCACAGCAAAATCACATTAAGGAGCTTTTATTATTTCTGATTAGTAGAATAAAGGTAAATTTGTTGATGGTTGGTAAATACAATAAAACTAAACACATACTGTATATATTGTTTTTCTGTAAATATTTATTGTAGAACAGATGTGTTGTGTTCTGATTCTTCAGCTTCTTTTTCTACATTAAAGATTGTTTTACTGATTTTACAAGTTGTACATGAATGCATCATGACATTTTCATGTTCAGAGAACAGCTGAATGCAATAAAGTGACTGGACCTGAACCACCTGAAACTGAGTCCGACTGTGTTTTTTTTTTCTCTCAGAGTGACTGAAGACCAGAAGATGGAAGGTTGGGTGGAGGACACGTCTCCAGGACNGATGTTGGGTGTGTGGTCCTGTGTTTTGTTGGTGTATTTAATATACTTCTAATTACTTCTCTCTCTGTTTTTCTCTCTGTCTCTATTTTCTCTTCACTTAAAAAAAGTCACTGATGATGAAAAAATAAATAAACTAAATAAACTAATATTTGGTTTCGTTTTCTACTGAAGTGACACAAAAAAAGAACTTTGTGTGTGTTTGTTCATGAGGAGCAAGCAGCGATCCAACAGCGGTCCAGTGCAGCGCTGAGGAGCTGGACCAGGGCAGCTCTTCCTTCCTTGTTGATTTGTTTAAAATTATTTCTTGTCTTTGTCTGTTGTTAAAAGAGCTAGAAGAGCAGCTGGTTTGATCCTATTGAATGTGAGCATGCAGCTGATGTTCATGTTTTTTTTCCATCACCACCGTTGACAAAAACAAAAAAGATTTTCCTCCGCAGACATCTCACCAAACACAACACTGATCATTGGGTGAAAAGAAATCCCAATATCCAGCCATCATTATTGTTGTTTTCCTACGTATACGTAAGAGCTGTGTGAGGGCAGAGGGAGGAATCATGTTAATTTATGGCTTGTCGCATCTTCAGCCCATTTGTACTCGATGAGGAAATAGACGTCTGATTTGTTGTCACTCAGCAGGGGGGACGAGACGTGCGGTTCAAAGTATAAAACAAGCTTAATAGAGAGGGGGAACTGAGAATGACTGGTGAAGCCCCAGTCTGTGCAATCTTCAACCCACACCTGCAGGTGAGTTTTTCAAGTCTTCCAGGGGAGGTCAGGGACATGGAATTCAAATAGGCCATGTTCAGGACCTCTATTTCAGACGCAGCATCTAGGAGCTGTGGCCTGAGGGTCTTTTCGTGCCTATCATGGTGGCAAACATAGGACTTACTGGTGGACACCAGCCATAATGGAGGCTGTCAAGCAGTATTGGTATCGGCTGATATTTAAAATTCAGGTATTGGATCGGAAGTGAAAAAATGTGGATAATGCATTGCTACTATTCAGTTTATAAAAAGTTAATAAATTTGTATGTTTGTGTAATTAGTTCACCCTGGAAAGCAAACAATCAAATCAATAATTAAAAGCTCAAAATTAAAATGACATTTATGCCTTTGTGTAGATGCAAACTCCCAACCACAACTGTAATTTGTCATCTGACTATCCTCAGCTGCTTCTTAATGCAACTGAAAGGATTTTTTTAGAGGCTATTGGTGAACGGGGCTCTAACGGTCCTTTGTGCACACAGGCTAGATGAGTCCATCTCCTTACATCTTTAACAAGCTCGGGGACTCCGAGTCGAGGGAACAGAGGGCAGACACAAATACAGGATGTCTCTAGCGCCAATTAGAAAGCTATCTCTATGCAAGTTTAATGATGGAGAGCCCATGGAGGAAAAACAAGTGGTATTAAGATATAGAATATGCTAAAAGCTGTTCATTATGGGCATAAATTATACAAAAGCTACCAGTGTTGGGTGTAAGCGTGTGGGAATCCACGGCTACATCTGCGGGGCAAAATAAGTCAGCGACACTTTGTAGAGACAATAAATGAAACAAAGCCAACCTGAGGAACATCATTAGCTACTGGGGATTACCATTGTTTTGAGTATTTTTAGAGCTTTCTTCTCTGCTCTACTTTAATCATTTGATAAAGTAACAATTTGAAAGCTGGAAGCATGAATGTAAAAGAGTCCAATTTTTCCTGTTTCCTTTATTCTTTTTTTTCCCTCCAAATGCACACAAAACAACGAGACAGCAAACACAAGCTCTCTCCTTATTAAAGGAAGATGTGAACAGACACAATTCAAAACAGACTTTAATTAGAGAAGAAAAGCTGCAGCTTCAAACTTAAATCGTACCTCCTCCTAGACGTGTCCCGTGTCATTTAGACCAGCAGTTCCCAAAGTTGGGGTGAAGAGGAGGGTCTTCTGAAGATTTATAGAAATTAAATGAACGCTAAAAATAATTGCTTATTTAGTTTTGAGTGTCATAAATTAATAAAACAGTTCAGTGCTTTTTACTTAAAAAAATACAGAACTGTATGTTTGATTACGGTTTTTGGTAAATGGCTTATTAGCATATTTTGTATACAACCGTAGTAGTCGGGGTCATGTAAAAGGTTTGGACCCTGAACACAAGGAGCTACAGAAGATTACTAAACCTTGTACTTAACTAAACAAAGGCTGATGTGGAATCAGAAAAACCCGGAGGCACAGAGGAAACTGAACATGGCATGCAAAATGTGCAATGAACCACTGATCTCTGAGAGGCTGTATGGACAGAGCATGATAGGAGTGCACTGCAGTGAAAAATGGAGTGTTAAGTTTGCAGCGTTAAACTTTTCACAGTTAAATTCAGCTCCCCAAGTGTTATTTTAACACTTTCTGAGTAAACTGACATCTAGTGTTGGTGTTAATTCACAGAGTTGATTTCATCAGTCTTGTCTCAACTCTGGACAGTGTTAAATAAGCTCCGCCCACTGTTGTCTTGATTAACACTTAACAGTGTCGTTATACAACACAATGCAGTGTTGAAAGAGGTATTCTTGAAAAGCTCTGCCCTCTTCCTCATAGAACAGAATTTTCTCAGCAAGGAATGCTGGGTAATCTAGTAGAAATGGTGTGTTTACATGGCTAAGACTATTAAAAATGTTCATGAGTTTAAAAATTAGTTTTTCTGGTTAGTTTTCTTGTTCAGGTTGGTAAGTTTTTCAAGTTCAAGTTTTGTGTTATTTGCCATAAGTCGACACCATGAGTGAGAGGTACTTCCTGGTGTGTGACGGGTCACTCTGATGTGCTGATGTGCTAACGTGTGACCAGTTTTAATACAACTCTTCAAGAGTTGACTAACTCTAGGTCAGAGGGCAGAAGTCTGTGCTCTCTGACTCATGCTTTGTAAAAAGGAAAACAAAAATATATATAGTATTACACAATAAAGTGTACTTTTTAAAGTAAGTTTAGTGTAAAATTAACTCCATAAAAAATAATATTACTTTACAGAGTGTTAACGAGCTATAGTGTTAAATAATTTTACTCGATTCA